TTATGCTCACAAAAAGCTTTTTAGATTTGAAAGCAGTAGTAGTCAAACCTGAAATATAAGCAAGCTAGACACTGTCCATGTCACAGGTCAAATCGAAGGAAATTATAATTTTCCAGAGTATAATTTTACTTATAATTATTGCAAGTCTTCCATGAACAATCTTTATTATAAACATAGTTTTACAAATTTAATCAAAAGGCCCCCACTCTAAAGCCAAAACAATGGATATGCTGCACTTTTGATATATAGATGGAAATTAATTAATTTTCATCAGGATCTATGGATATTTTCTTTTGTAGCATTACTGTGGAATGGGTTTGAGTCAAAAATAGGAAACAGGAAACGATGAATGAGGGAAGCATTTTCCATGGGTGCTTCTGGAAAAAAGTCAATTCCACCAGCTGTATTTGCCTATCTTTATGCCAAATATAGCATGAGAATAGAACACAGCCTGTTTTTCCTAAAAAGCTTTTTTTTTTAACTTTTGGAAGAATTGATGGCTCCGTCCTCCTGTTTGTTTTGATCTGTAATTAAGGCCTTTTCTCCAAAATGTGCTGCTGTAGCAACATCTAATGAAGGTCCCTGCTCAGTTGGAAAGTATTGCAGCAGTAGATTTTTTTTCCTCTCTTCATGCTTAAAACAGAAAGGACAAGTCCTTCATGTCATATAGTAACAGCAGTGTATGTACTTAGTAAAGTGCCTCTCGGTATGTTGCTGATTCCTAGAGTCACAATGATGCTCATCACAACAGGAAACAGCAGAAGATTTAAATACACATAAGTTCAAGTGAATAAATGCCTACTAATTTGTCACAGCACTGAATCATTACAGAAGATAAATAAAACTGTTTTCTTTTACTCTATGTCACACAGCCCAAATAGACTATTGACTTATATAAGTAAGTACTGCTTATGCAAAATAACGATGTCCTCATACCTGCACAGATGAAATAAACTGTCAGAAACTTGTTCTTCCACAGTAGATATGGTTTCATTCCTGTCATACAAGATCTTACCACTGTACAATGATTTATTTCAGTCAAAAACATTTCTTACATAAAAAATGGAGATTTTATCTTCTTTCACAATGAAAGAACAGAGAATACTAATTCCTCTCTCCTCTTACCTCTCAGGCAATTTCAATAAATTACAGGAAACAAAAGTTTGCCCTGCATGTGGCAATGTGACTTTTCACAATAGCAGTTTCAGCCTTAAACAACACTCCCCAAGGAGGTCCTATACGGAGTTTTCACTTCCAAGAGACATTTTAATAATATAGTGAAAGGTGCTGTAGGTGCAAAGAAGGGGTTAACACAGGTAATACCTCGAGCCAAGTTCACTGAGATTTCAAAGTGCTAAGACAAAGATCTTCCAGAGTTGTAGACACATTAAAGAGCTGTTGTTTACAATTGCCTTTCCAAAATATAGGCCTTCTCATCAGACTGTTTGAGTGAGTTCCTGTAAGTCTGCCATTTTCTCAACTGTTTTAACTCATGTAGAGTTTCTGGTTTGTTTTTTAATATTAAAAATGTTATTATCAGCTATTAAATACAAATGCATGAGTCTGTTTTCTTTTAATTATTCTGAATTCTTGACATGCTAATTTCAAAAGCATTTATCAATACAAATAAACAGAAGCGTATTTTAGAATTTATTGAAAAAAAATCACATGCTCTTGCAGAAACATATCATAAAATCAGTACTTGCGAACAAACATGCTAGTTTGTTCACTAACACCTGAAGGAGGTCAACACTAGCCAGCTGAAACTGGAAAGCAATTCTCCAGCAGTTTCTTTTCTTTTAGAGCATTTCCTCCCTCATGAAGGTAGGGAAAAAAAAAAGAGATTTGCATTTTTTATCATTCTGTCTCATCAGTGTATAAACTTGTTTTCTGTAACTAAAGAAAAAAAAATTTTAAAAATCAACCTTCACCCCAATAAACTTGTTTTAAATGCTTCATGTTTTAGCATCCTTTTTTATGCTTAGATTTTGCAATATGATCAAGATTTAATATATTTGATAGCTTACATACCTATCAAAGACTGTTTTATTCAAGCCAGAAAAAATAACATTGCCCAGAAATTAAGCACTTTTAAAAAATAATCAGGCTTTTGTCTAGTTTATTTGAGGTTGCTTTTTTTTTTTTTTAGGTTCACAGATTTTTGCTGCTCTTCTGCACTGCTCAGCTGCATAAGTCGAAAGTCAAGTATGGAAATACTTGAAAATTAAATGATGAAGTTTAGAAAGCAAAATTACTGAAACTTTTCCGTTCATTTTTCATTCTTTAATCATATGTGCTAATCTGTCAAAGTTTGCAAGCTCTTTATTAAGTAAAGCAAACTTTTAATGTAAAGCCTTGTATTACACCCCCCAAGTTAACCCATCTAATAACTATCTACAGACTAAAGGGCAAGCAAGGAGATACATGATTTTTAAAAAGAAGTACCAATTTAATGTGGCTTTTATTGGGCAATGCATTTCTGATCCTAAATGGAAGAAGAATTTCAGCTGAGAAATCAAAGCCAAACATGCACTTCATGCAGGATGCAAGAGTGTGCAAGCGTTATTCCATTCTGTAACTGAAAGCCAGAGAGACAGAATGACCATGCTACAGTCAAAGATATGGCTGAAATTTCTGAAGAAAAATGAGAGTTTTTTCTTATACATTTCAAGTATCAAAAGCAGTTGAGTGCAAAAGGTCACATCAGTAGTCTAATGGTCTTGCCAGATTTCCAGACAGGTTGTAGGGTCTCCATGCAACAGCAGCTACCAGATATTGCTAATTAAGCTACTCGGCCTAAAGCTAGCCACTATTTGGGTTTTTTCCCTGAGAGGTGAGAAGGATTTCTCCCACATTCTTTCCAACTAGGTCACTTAGACTATTACTAAAAGGAAAGAAGAAAACTGGTGGGTGCTAAATCCAAGTTACCAAAAAAATAAGGACATTTACGTATTAAAAAAGGTTATTTCATAATATAGAAACCTGCTTGTTTGGCTGCTTTCTGTTTTCCTTTCATTTGTGGATCAGAGATGGAAAGGGGAAAATCAAGGTCAAGTCACTTGTTTAAGAGACTGGAAAGAGCGAGAGAAGCTAGTTGCATATTAGGAAGACAGTTGCTCATGTTTCAAAACATTCTGTTCAAGTATTTCTCATCAAAAACCTTCCCAAGCAGATGTTTGAGAAACTTGTGGTGCTTTGAACAAAGAACCCGATTATGGAAGCAAGCTTGACAAGGATTTACAGAAGGTGGGTTTGGGGTGCTTTGCAGCCATGTGGTGCCTCAACAGAATTTGCATCTCAGATAGGAATCAAAAGGGCCTCATGCTGAGTATGGAACTGCCCTGGTTAAACTTCCTGAAATAGCTAGGTCATCAGGAGGGCTATGAAAACATGAAATCACCTGCTTTGGAATAACCTCCTGGAGCAGGCTTTTACTGTCCAAAACCCATTAAGACCACTTGGGAAATGTTACTGACCTTCTTCTTGCTGGTAAACCAGGAGAAAAAGGATTCACCTGAGAAAGGGCAGTGCTCAACAGCTTTCAAATTTATTTGTCCCTGATTCACTTTCGCAAGCTGCCTTAACAGTAGTTTCACGTACTGGTAAAAAACCAAAACAACAAAACCCCATCTTACCTTCTATTTCAGCTTAGCTAATATCAGCTGGAGTTTATGAAATATTACTTGCCATGTTGGCGTCTCCTTTTGTGCCAGGTTCCTGATCTTTTACTTTCTCTCTGAGAAGCTAATCAGACTCAGTCTCTTCTCTAGGCCTCTTTTTTACAATCTCTCTGTTGTTCTCATGGCTCTTCTCTTCAACCAAACATTGGGTTGAAGTAGCAAAGCCTTTTAAAGGGGGGCAAGGCAGAATGACAGGGGTGGCTTCTGTGAGAAGACACCAGAAGAGAGCCACTGATCTCTCTCCTCCAGGGACCTAGCACTGCTTAGGAAATGCAGAGCATGTGGCTGGCTCCTCCTTTTCTCTCATGACTGCCCTGCAGCCCAGCAGGTGAGCAAGGCTCCACCACAGAGCTATAGCAGGCAATCTGACGAGGCTGGTACTGGATTTGCCAAAGGCATGGAGGTGCTGAGAGCAGGAGCATGCTTCTCTGTCTATGGCTTCTAATTGCATGTCCTTGGCTAAGCATCCCAGGTGCCACAACTGTCCTTGTCAGTGTGGGCCCAGAACACCAGTAGAACTCATAGAGGGCAAGGACATGGAGCCTGCCGGAGGGTGCTGCTGTGACTGATGTGGCCACCATGGTCAGTGCTGCTCCTCTGTTTCACTGTGCTTTGTGCAGGAAGGTTGACACTGCTTGGCTTATTGGGTATGTTTGCTTGCACTTCATTGCTTGCCCAGCACAGCCACAACAAGATTGGCTCCTCAGCACCCAAACACACACATACTGCCTGTAGTAGTAATGTTGTCTGGTGTATGTTTTCTGGGAAGGACTTGATGGCAAACTGATCCAGAGAGTAGGGTGTCAGTGAACTTCCCAAAGATGGTACGATGCCACGGGGGGTGTTTTCCTGTGATCTGTGACAGCAGGTGGTGCTGCCTACCCGGGGTCTGCATACCCACATCCTGCCAGCAGAGAATTCAGTGGGAGTCTGTCAGGAATGTCCAGTCCTACCTTCTGCTTCTCTTCTGCATGGAAGTCCCATGAGTGGTGAGGCACTGGCACAGGCTATCCAGAGAAGTTGTTGTTGTCCCATCCCTGAAAGTGTTCAAGGCCAGGTTGGATGGCATCCTGCTCTAGTTGAAGATGTTCCTGTCTATGGCAAGGAGGTTGGAACTAGACAATGTTTACAGTCCCCTCCAACCCAAACCAGTCTATTATTCTGTGACTCTACCTTGTCCCCTGCCCAGTCCCCCAAAGCCTCTGTGCCTAGAACACCAAATCAGCCACTCTGTGACATCAGCCCTGGGGCCTGTAGACCCTATGCTGGTGGCTGCACTGGAGGCAATGAGCCCTCACTCCTTGCAGCTGAGATGTGCCACTGGCAGTGATGAATTTGCTGTGCCTCCTTGTCGTGCTGGCTGTGTGCAAGCCCGTGCTCGGCTCATGGGACACCTGTGGGTAAGCGGCCTCAGGCTCTGGGAGGGAGCTTGGGTAACCCTTAGTGGTTTTTTTCTGTCCCCTGTGGCCATATCACAGCTTCCTGAACCCCCTGTGGTAGCTCAGTTCCTTGACAGTGCCCGTGTTGCTGGCACAAATTGTCTGTGGGACTCAAATAGAAATGGGCAGACAGACACATGCCCTATGAGATTCCTGGGCCCTGCTGGCCATGCAAACAATGCCATGTGGGCAGGAAAGTCAGGCAACCTTTACCCTGAGCAGCAGCAAGGCATTGAGCAGAACAGCAATGACTTTCTTCTTACAGAGGGACCTGTGGGCTCTGGCCCATGGATGCTTCCTACAGTCCCACAACTTATGACTATGGCCCCACGGCTTCTGATGACAGCACATTGAGTGTCGTGGGAGGCACAAGTGTCCAGACAGGGGCCTGGCCTGGGATTGTCAGCATCCAGGATACCCAGAAACCAGGCACAGGGCATATCTGTGGAGGGTCCCTCATCAGCACACAGTGGGTCCTCACAGCTGCCCACTGCTTCAACAACACCAGGTAAGGAGGACCAGGGAACGGGGATATCCCTACAACACTAGCAGGTGCCCAGCTGGCAGCACTACATGCTACTCCCATCCCATTTCTTTGCGGTATACCCAGTGCCTGGGCACTGCAGAGCCCAGCTGAGACGCTGCTCAGGGAGGAGGCTGCACTCCTGTAACTGCTTCCTAGCAGCCTTCAGGCCAACAGTACTGCAGCCTAAGGCATGCTAGGACAGTCATATCCTATCTAGCACAGCTTTCATCTCTGCCTTGGGAAGCAGAAGGCAGGGAATTGCTGGGCTGCTGCAGTACATGGCTCTGCTCCCTCTCACTCCTTTCTCCATCTGCCTCCCAGGAACATCAGCATGTGGCGTGTGGTGATCGGGGCCACCCAGTTGACTCAGCTGGGCCCTGAGGTGCAATTGCGCCAGATTAAGCAGCTACATGTTCATGAACAATATACTCCTGGTGAGGAGAGGAATGACATTGCCTTGCTGGAATTGGACCAGCCAGTCCCATGCAGCCACTACATACAGCTGGGCTGTGTGCCTGATGCCACGCTGAGAGTGTCAGAGCTGAAAACTTGCTACATTGCTGGCTGGGGTTCCACCACTGAAAGAGGTGGGTTCCCAAAAATGATATGTGGCCTGAAGGCAAGCTTGACACACCAGGGAGATGGGTTGGGGTTCCCAGCTGCAGGGGTCAAAGCCAGAGTCAGGCTGTAGGATGTGTGTCTCTGGAGAGATGGTCCTGGCCCACTCCCCAAAGCCAGACAGAATGGGGACAGCACGACAACATGGTGTCCCTTCTAGGGAACCTTAGGGAAGCCCTAGGGAAGGGCTTCGCCCCCAGATAAGGAAGTGAAGGGCACAGGAGTTGCTCGGTGCTCATTCCTTTCTGTGCTTACAGATCAAAGATCAAGTGATGTCCTGCAGGAGTCCAAGGTCCATCTCATCGATGTCCAGCTCTGTAACAGCAGCTGGTGGTACATGGGGGCCATCCACACCCACAACTTGTGTGCTGGTTACCCACAAGGCACCATGGACACCTGCCAGGTAGGAGCCACTCAGCCCTCAGCAGCACGGACAGCCCCATCACTACAGCCGAGGCACAGCCAAGCATCTGCTTTGCCTGGCCAGTTACTGCCCCAGCCCCAGGTCCACACTGCTGATAGGGCTTCCCTCCGCTTCCCCATCTACAGGTCCTTGCTCAGTGCCCCAAGGCTGGAACTCTGCCCAGAAAGCCCATCTAGTGCTCTTGGCAGCCCAGACATCCAGATGCTGACCTTGGAGCATCCGTCCTCTGCAAATCCAGGATCCCTGTGCAGAAATGAGAGAGAGACCAACCTTACAAGCCCCCAGCCCACTCCCAGCCAAAGTTCTATATGCTCCAGCACCTGAGCAGAGCCTTTGTCTGCCATGAATACAGCTCCTCTGGCAGGGGCTAGGAGAGAGAAGGAGATAGCCCTAGTGCTGGCAGCAGCCACCTGACACCAACTTAACTGTCTCTGCTTCACTGCAGGGCGACAGTGGCAGTCCCCTGGTGTGCAAAGATGACCATGCTGCCTACTTCTGGCTCGTTGGCTTGGCCAGCTGGGGAAAAAGCTGTGCAAGAACAAACCAGCCCGGAGTCTACACCTCTACTCAGTATTTCTACGACTGGATCTTGGTCCAGATAGACCCGCAACCAGATAAAAGGGCATGGAGTCATTTTATGACTACTTCAACTGCCTCTCAGAATCCAACACCAATACCAGTGCCAATACCAACACCATCGGGCTGGTTTCGCTCCTTCCCACTTCCACTGCAGCAGCTGGTGGAATTTTTTACTCAAGTGCATGAATTTCTAGAGGCCCTAAGGAGAAAATTGGATAGAGAAGCAGGATGAACAGGATCCAGTGGAGGCTGCAGTGGACCATGACCATTTCCTTCTGGGGCAGTGCCTGCTGACCCAAAGGCAGCCTCAGTGCCAAAGGCCTGCTCTGTCCTGCCCCTCCTCCTCTGCATGCATGCAAGTCCTGAAGTTAACTTAGTTATGGAAATAAAGTTTCATGGTTTCACAGTTAACCATGTTTTCAGTCCTACTCAGTCTCCCAAGGATTTTCACAGAGGGTACCTGCAAAATGAGGCTGTGAGCAGACACATCAGGCACAACAGGAAGGAGTCATTCCAAAGGACTGAAACCATGCTTGGTCAGAGAGGAGGACAAAGATGCAATGGAAGAAGGGAATACAGGTCACAGAGCAGTGGGGAGCTTACAGATCTTGGGAACAGCAGTTGGAAGTGTGAAGCATTTTAGGCTGCCTACCAGTGGGATGCCTCCATGTGAGTCTGTACAGTGCAGCAGGGAACTTGAAACTGGACTCTCTCATGACCCAGAAAACATTGTTCTAGAAAGACCCAAGCTTTGCACCAAGGACTGGGTAAGGAGCTTGATATCCAGCCACAAATAGTACAGGGATGTATTTCAATTAATTTCTATATTGTTATTTGAGGAATTTATAAACATGCTGGGTGCTAGTGAATTGTTGATGTCAACCTGGTTTGTAGTAACTGTGTAAATCTCTGTCTGTGTGTGTGTGTGTTGGCTCCTTGGAATGCAGACATGCACAGACACAGAGATGGCAATAGAAGCAGTCACATCCATCAGGCTGGATGAGTGTGAGAATTCACCTGACTCAGCTCTAGAAGACCCAAATGCAGAAATCTCCTGTATCCAGAAGTCTACTGGATCTGGCTGATCTGCAAGAGAATGGGGAAGGCAGTCCAAAGAAACTCAGCAGCAGAGGTCCTGGCACAGACAGGGAGGCAGCACTGGCCAGGCTGTGAAAACACTGGGGAGGGTAGTTTGATGCCTCCTGCTCCAGCTTCAAACTGCACATCTTTGGACTTAAGTGCAGAGCAAACTTGATATAAAATTTTTGGTGCACCTCATGGACTTTGCTCATCAAGTTTGCTCTGTATGTAAGTAAAAACACTGGGGATATTTGGTTTGGTTTAGGCAGTTCATTTTAAAGTTGTATTATTTTTTTTCCTCTTTTTATCTGGTACATCAATTCTCTCCATCTTAGAAAAAGACAATACAAATAATTCCATTGCTTACTCATGGTCTTTTCATGTCTTTCCAGTTCTTTCTTTTTAAACCCTTTTCTAATTGTGCTCAGAAACAGAATAGGAAGCCCCATTCAGCACTGGGGAAACACGGGCTAGAACGAAATAGCTCTCATTCATTCACGATGATGTGCTGGTTTTGGCTGAGGTAGAGTTAATTCTCTCCATAGTGGCTGGTAGGGGGCTGTGTTTTGGATATGTGCTGAACACAGGTAATATAGATATGTTTCTGTTATTGCTGAGCAGTGCTTACACAGAGCCAAGGCCTTTTCTGTTTTTCATGCCGCCACAGTGGTCGAGGGTGCATGGGAGGGTGGGAGGAGACACAGTTGGGACAGGTGACCCAAACTGACTAAAGGGATATTCCAGACCATATGGCATCACGCTCAGTGTATAAAGGGTGGGGGGGGAGAAGGACAAAGGAGGTGTGTGCATTCAGAGTGATGGCTATTAGCTACCAGTCTTAGAGCTCTCAGCTGTGAACCTATGGCATTGCAGAGCAAAGTGAGAGAGTCGGACAAGGAAGTCAGGACTTTTAAGGATGGAGAGTTGATGGTACAAGAAATAATTACCACTCAAGCAGAGGGGTGCTATGAGCAGCAATGCACTGCAGAATGGCTGGAGGCATGTATAGCTAACAAATGAAGGCATAAATATGGGAAAAGAAAGGTTCCTGCTCTCACTGTGAAATCTTCATAGGATCACAAGGAATGGGATGGAAATATTTGGAGTGAGTCCTCGGACTCTGAGTTTGAGACAGATTTGACAGATTTGGAGGTGGTAAAAGTGCAGCCCCTCATACAAGTGGAGAGGTAGTGGAATATATGGAGGGGTACAGATCACATGCACTTATACCTCAAAGAAGTTAAGGGAATATGATTTAGCATTTTCAAGATACCGTAATGAAAGGGAATCAAAATTCTGCTTTGTTTTGACTGACACTGCTGTAACAATGGGCCATGCTTTCACTTTCTGCTGAAAAAGAGGATGGATTTCAATTAATAACTTAATAAAATGATTCTGTAGCTTGACGTCATTGTCATGAAGACACTACCGTTGCTCAATTAAACAGGTAGAAACAAAATCAGGGATTCACAAACTGACATTTTATTTCAGACACATTTCTTACATTTGTACAATATATAATTCTTAATTTTCTTCAGAATCTAATACATATTTTATAGTTTTTTTCTATAAACCATTATAAACTCACATGTTACTCCTTCCTGAAGTCCTCTCCTTGAAGCTTATAATAAAATAAGCATTAAAATGAAATATTTGTTGCTTTAAAGGGAAAAGAAACAGTTACAAGAATACACAAAAATATACCTGTTACAACCCATGATGAAGAAATACGCATTTAAACCGCCTGAATGCAATCTTCATACATTTAAGTTTACTACAGTTTGTTAGTAATTTTTTTTATCATGTATTTTATCAAAATTTTTAAAAACCCTGTTTTATAGAAAAATGGCAAAGTACTGTAGTCTCATTCCTATTAATGTATTCTTGAAACACACAGTAATGTATTTAAGCGTAATTCAAACCTGTAAACATTAATCATTGTTTTGGTGGCTTTTTTAAATTACTCCTCATATTTGGTTATCAGTACTGATAAAAAAGAGTGTCTCTCAAGACCTATTAAGTGCAAAGTGCTTTCTCTGAAAATACCTCACCTATTGCTGTAGGAAGTGTTCTAGTGTGCCTGCTTCTAAGAGCAGATTTAAAGCTCATGAACATTTGGAATTCCAAGTGTGTAATTCCAAGTGTGTTCTGGAGAAACAAAACTGCTGTTGTGATTTTTACATTACAGGAAAAAACAAAGACGACAGTACCATTGTGCTTTATTTATTCTGGAGTGGGACAATCAGATCTTGGGGAAAGGTTACATTCCTCTTGTCAGCAGTAATACTATAACATAGTTATATTCCTTCCATCAGCTGGATTCCATGGTGCTTTTATTAATGCCACGCATACATGGCAGTGAAAGCACTAAAGGCAGTCCAACAATTGAAAAAGTTGTATTTTATAAATGGTTTATAGATGGTTTACAGGTTGAAGGTGAGAATTAACCTTTTTGAGGCTTGTAGCACTTTGGCCACTGACTTCAAGCAGAGCCAAAATGTCACTGAGACACTGCTCTCTGCTCTAAGTCTGACCGTGATGCATGGACCTGCAGCAGACAGCTGGCCAGGTCAGGGGCAGACTGTTCCTTAAGTCAGGGTAAATAACCAACTTCTTTGCTAGCACTTAAGGATGTTCCTTCATGTTCCTCTCAGCCCTGCTGGCATCTTTGTCTGAATTAAGCAGCCTTGCCCGTTACAGACATCCAGGTGTGAGTTTTCCTTCCGCTTCTTCATAGTGTGGTGTGTAGGTATGTCCCTGATTCTTCCTTGGCAAGCCTGACAAGCTCCTCCCAACCTCCCTTGCTTTCTGTCCTGTTGCTCATCCAACTTCCACTTCTTTTCCAGGAAACAGGAAACAGGAGAGGAAACAGGACCACACATCATCTTGGCCACTGGAAATTTCCTGCACAGAGATTATCAAAGTGTCAAGTCCTTTATCCACATGCATTTGCTACCTACAATTCCATTCTTGGTCCCAGGAGGTGGAAAATCTGAAACAGTGTAGACTGTACATTAGCTAGTTTGGGGATTATAAATGTCTTAATTCAAATACAGAATACAAATTAAATGAAGATTAGTTTTCAGGGCAAGACTCCATCCATAAGCGAAACCTGAGATTAGCTCAGTTGGTTACAGCATGGTGTTAGTAATGCCAAGGTTGTGGGTTTGATCCCTGTATGGGGCATTCGTGTAAGAGCTGACTCAATGGTCCTTGTAGGTCCCTTCCAACTCGGAATATGATGTGAAAAAAATTAACTGAAGTTTTTATGTTCTCAGATATTTGGGCCTTCTAAACTTGGAAAGGCTGGCAACAGTTTTCTGGGTATATCAACTGTTCATTGTATGCCCCTGTGTACATACAGACGTGCAATTTTCACAGTTGTTGTCGTGCTTGGGTTGTTGTTTTGGTGTGCTTTTTAAAAGCTGACACAGAAGCCTCCCAATTCCTTCCCTCCCTCTTTGCCTTAGAATATATGTCTGCATCAAGTACAATTAAGGTATGAGTGCCTCCCACAAAAGAGAAATGTGTTTAAGGTATTTAAAATGCCTCACCATGTCAGATGCATGTAACTATGGTTCGTGATAATTTCATTCATTCATCTTCCTCACACAGGGGGTTGCCATGGACACACCAGGCAGAATGTAGAACTGCTAAAAGTTTTTCATTTATGTCCAGTATGAGAATATCCAGAGGGAAAGAAAAAAACAGGTCAGTGACTTACAACTGATGAACTCTGTTGCAACAAGACTTCTAAAGCTATATTTAAAGAAACTCATCCGTGTAATTTTCGGTTCTAATTCACGGGAGCTGAGCCCAGAAATCAGCCTTATGATCATCTAGTCTGAACCCCAGAAATCACACAAGCCATAGAATCTTCTCTAATAGCATCTGCCATGAATATATTAATTTTATATAATTCACCACAGCTTTTTTTTCTGAGTATGGCACAACAACTGTGAGATCTGGAGGACCCACAGCACGCTTAGATAACATCAGGAGTCAGTGATTTGCAATGGTAAACTCCTGGAAGGACATCTCGTATCTGTGAATTAAGTGCCTGTTTGGCTATTGCACTTAAGCCTCTAATAAAAGCCTTATAGGTTTGAGGGGCTTACTTAGTTTCATTTGCTTCTCATTATCATGATATGG